CAATATGTAGATGATGAGGCTTACTTCTTCTCGATGGCCGGCTGAGTGAACAAGTGAATGGTTGCTTGGTTGATCGGCTAGCCAGCCAGCTGGCTGTGACGCTGAAGACATTTTGTTAGTATTTTTTTGTTGACAACTTCTTGAGAAATGCAGACATCCACAGTGTCACCTGTACTCGCCGCGCTGTCTCTCTGTCTGATTGCCGCCCACCACCACCAACGACTACATCACTACATCGCCACACAGACGATACACGTCTGATTGTATGATCGCGATCGTGTTCTGTGCTGTTTATCATAGCGATCACTGTTTTGATTTTCTTGTTCTTTACGCTTTTGATTTTTGTTTGATTTCCAATCGTTGGCAATTGTTTGATGAACTATCGAGATTGTTGTACCTCTTGTCATTGTGGTGTACAATGGTTGTTTGTTTATTTTTGGCGGTACTTTCATGTTAGATCGGCATTGCGAACCATGTCGCTTATGTTATGTTATTGAAGATCGATTGACTGCGGCAAAAGATGCGACGGTCTTATATGGAATAATGATTAGTTTTGCCTTTTTTTTAGTTAGCCAGAAGGCTAACAAGAGTGCGCTAGGTCGCTAAGTCGTAATATCCTAACTCTATGCCGAATCTGAATACACCAGATTTTCGAGCTGGATTGGTTAGGTGGTGGTAATGGCAGAAGCTTAGAAGGTAAGGCGCATAAGCAGAGCTTTCGAGGGGGGGCTGATTTAAGTCGTCTCAGCGCCCACCTCTCAACATTTCTTGAGAGTGGCTACTATTTGCGATTTGTTAGTTGTCATAGCCAGCTCCTAACCTCTTCAGCGAAGATCTCTGTATGTAATACGCATTTTCGTTAACAAATCAACTCTTTTATTAACTTCGTTTTCAAATGACCTTGGCGTTCGCAAATTGTAAATTGTTTTCCATACAAATAAAATCAAATCGACATCGTTGATTTTCATCAATGGCCATATATCTGTCTGGCTTTGATTTTTTTGCACGCCGCTCCCTATATGAAATGAAATGATCTGCTGCACGAGCGAAGACACGATCGTAGGCGATATCTTGCTTGTTGCTACAAATTTTTACCTCGATAATTTTGTTCATTGCTGCTTTTGATCAAAAAGTTACCGACTCTCTGAACTACATAGACATAGACATTTACATGCGATTGATTGGATAGCGGAAGAGACAATCTCGTCCGAGGGGGACCTGTACAACAAAGAGCGTCGGCAATTAGATAACAACTTGTAATTGTGCTGTGAAACAAGTCGTAATTACGAATGTTTTCTCAATTGGCGGCAACATGCGATACAAAGAGATTGGTTAGTATAATCAAGATGTACACATGTGAAAGAAAGTTAAAGATTCTTATAGGAGTACATAATAATCAATGTAACAAATTACAATTTTAGAAAGGTAATCGGTGACTATCTGGCCAGTAAATGGATAAGAGGTTTGTTTAACGGCAACTATTTAAGTCGCAACTAAATACCAGTTTGGCAGTGAACTAAATAAAATCTAGAAACAAAGCTCGTAATGGTGGCCGCTGTGATGTAGTGGTTAGTAGTGCGCACTACCATTCCGTAGGGCCCGGTTTCCGACAACATCAAAAAATAAAAATAAAATAAAACCAGTTTTTTCTAATAGCGGTCAACGCTCGGCAGGCAATGGCAACCTTCGAGTGTATATCTGCCATGAAAACAATATCAAGTCGCACGCCACAAATTAGAGCAGAAGCTCGGCCAGAACACGTAACACATTGTGTACAGCACCGATCTTGACGATTTCCTCAGTAGACTTAGTTTAATTATTTTGAAAGTATCTCACCAAATGATGGAGTGTTAATGTAAAACCCCACATCTGAACAATCAGTTGTATAGCAGCAATAGTGATGAACTCGCTAAACCAGACTACGGTTTCATCATAAAGAGCAGCTTAGCGCAAGTTGCACTGAACTCTATTGACGCTTGATCTGTTCATCAATTTTCTAAAGCCTAGTGTGGTTCTCTTCACTAGAAGAAGAAGGAATAATGACTTGACTTTGCCAGTGTTGAGGAGTGTCACTATAAAATTTCTCATAAGCTTAACCCCTCAATAATCCAGCTTGACTATTTGTCAAAAACTTGCGCCTAAAACTATGTCGCTAAGATTTGTCCGTATTCGCCTAGATTTGTTGTGTATTTTCAAAGCGCTTAAAATTAAAATTTTCCAGCATAGTTTAAGTCGTAGTTCTTTGGACAAATACTCAAGCTTGACAATTTGTCAAGTGCACAGAATTCGGGGGTTTGTATTTAAACTATCATTAAATTCATTAACTCCCCCCTATTCTAACAAAGTCACAAAACTCAGCGCATCACTATTGTGATTTCTACTGCGCTTCAAAGTATGCTGCTAAGACAAATATGTCGCTACGCATTAGAGCTGTCAAACTATCGCCGATACTATCGATAGTATCGATAGTCTGATCACTTGAAATAACTATCGATAGTTTTAATACTATCGCCACTATCGTTTCATTGATAGCGTATTCTCTTTCATGGCTCAAAGAGAACAAAAATTGGCAGCATTATTTCATGAACGAACGAATAAAGATCACCCAGGACGGTGTGCGAGAAAAAATATTTTTATTTTTTTTGTGCAGTGCGTAATTTTTTCGCCGCCATGTGAATGAAACGGAATGAAACAATCTGTGTGAATGAAACAACCTAATAAAAAATGACGTTACCAACTATTATTTTCTTTCTCAAATGCAATTACAAATACGCGGTTGCCGTGCTGGGTGATCTGTTAAGTGGTTCATGGCATTATTTCTAAAAGCGCTATTTTTTATTTTAAGCGTGGAAATAGCAGAGGTTATATTGCCGTCTTAGACCGAGCAATGCAGTATATTTCAAAAGACTGTCAAATTGAGAAATTGCAGAAAGCTGTTGCATGAGCAGTGGCACCTTGCATGTAAAGTGTCTTTCGAAAGATTTTTTTTTCCCTGAAAGGCGAATTGTAGCGAGAATTTCTGAAATCGCTTTTTGACTGTTTACACGAATGAATTTCTAGCAATATTTCTCGATATTTAAATGCAACCGTGAACCGCTAAAATAAACAAATTTATAAAAGCAAGATAACGAAAAATAAATGGATTTAGAAAAACATTTGAAATGGGTCGATACTATCGATAGTATCGATAGTCACCCTTAAGACTATCGTAAAACATCGATGGACTTGACTATCGATAGTTTGACAGCTCTACTACGCATTTATCGGTTTGCCACCCCTAGATTTACGCCCTCACTTAGGTTTTAGAAGTTTAGGTTACTTAGAAGGTTTGATGTGGTTATACCAGACAGGGATCAATGAATTGCGCAATCGGAACCAGGTCACGAATACTCCAGAACCTTTAAAGGTTGATCTAACTAAGAGGTTGGGACAGGAGCATGGCTGTTCGTTGAGCAGAATAACGTCAAACGTTTCTTTTTCCAAGGAAAGTATTTTCACTGGCGACTCTTTCCGACCCTGGCATTGTTGATGAATGTACTTTTAGCAACCAAGTCAATCTTGTTTGGACACCTGAGCACAAGGGGGTTAAGAGAACGAGTTGACTGACAAACTTGCTAGGCATGGCTAAAGATAGGACCGGCACCTTGGATTGTCTATAACATCGGTGAAATGGCGCATATCAACAGAATTGACCTGTAGCCAGCATGAGATCAGATGGTAAGACATTCCTATCTGCGGACACTCTGAGGTCGTCTTCACTAATATCAACAGAATTTCTTAAAACACTACTTAACATTTTACCTGCAGCTAACCGGCGTTTGTACAGGCTGAAGTTGTTGCAGGTAAATAGTTTAAAGTTAATTTTAGTAGGTTCTGGTGTCATCTGGGCATATCTTTCAAATTGAGTGAGTCTTCCATCTACTAGCCTTGGGACATGGCAATTAATGAAGCCATATCTACAACCAGAAGCTATAGCTTTAAGCACTGTGGCTGTGAGGGCTTTTCTCAAACTGGTCTGAGCATGGCTAGACCTACGAAATGAATGGTTATGAACTTTTGGGTTTTTTATTTCTATCCGAAAATGTTTTTTTCCTCAAAGAAGAAATTGAAGAGCATGCGATCAAAAACAGGAAACAAAGAACCGACATACATATTAGTAATTACAAATGGCCGACAAACTAAACTCTTTAAAGATATATTTTTCATCAGCTTTTGTGGATTGAATAATTTTGCTATTTATTACAATAAAAAATCGCATTTAGTAGGCGGTGACAGCTTTGGCAGTATTTCAGAAAAAAAATTAAAACAAATTTTCATATTGGCATCACCGATTACGTAGGCTTCAAGTCTTAGAATCCAGCAGTTGAATTCTGACAATCGCTACGCTAAATTTTCGTCGCTAAAATTCTCTAAATGAAAAGCCTAAAAGTATACAACATGGCAAATGGGCAGCATGTAACTAGATGTTGCATGGCGTTAGGCGCACCTGCCATTCTTTTAGAGATTTTTGGTGATCAAAATTAGCGATAGCGAATGTTGGAATCCGGCTGCACCCCTCAAGAAAAATCACAAGAAATATTTTTCATTATTTCTGTTGCGTAAAAAGCAATTTGCTTCTGCTGTAAATTTTCTTGGAGCAACAAATATACGATAATTTTTTTCTTGGCAGCTAGAAACTGATTAAAGAAATTTTGAATTTCCTTCTCATTTCCTGTGCGGCATTTTATATAAATTTTTCTTTTTTCTTGAGAGCCGGAAACAGCCCTTAATTTGGGAATTTCCAACAACAGAAACATGGCATCTCATTGATTGTAACTACAAAAGGAAAAAAAAGAAAAGGCTACCCTACTAATTGGAAGCTTCAGCTTAAGTATATTTTATATAATTAAAAAGTTTTGTAAATATGCTTATGTTTATGTATTTTCAACTCACCTGACATTGAACCCAACTCGCTGGAATGATTATTATTACTAAGACTTGTATTATTATTATTACTACTACTATTATTGTTGTTGCTCTCTATCGAAGATGACGTTAGACTACTTTGTGAAGATTTCTCCAGAACATCATGGTCCTCTTTACAATATAAAATGCCGCCATCTCGTAGCGCAAATTCATCACCTGAATGGAATGTAAAATAACATTTTTATATGAAAGTGAAAATTAAATAAAATACAGCGAAATATGTATGTATGTATGTCATTGTAATATTCACCTGGCAGCAGTTGCTTCGCACACGCCGAACAACGAAAGCATTCAATATGAAAGATTTTCGTTTTTGCCCGCATCACAAAGTCATTTTTACTAAATGAGCTACCGCATTTATCACATTTTGTACCAAATAACCTGCAAAGAAATTTGGGATTTGAATTAAAAGAAAAATACAATTGCAATGCTAAAGTGGGTTTACTCTATGCTTTTGATGGTCACTACTGTTTAGGTACATTAGGGCGCATCACTCTCGATAAAAAAAAAAAAAAATCGGTACTGTTTTTCCAACGGAATCATAAAACTTACTATATTTGAAGATTTTCGCCAACATATATATATAACAAAAATATTAAAATTTACGTGAGCTGGACTGACTTGAAAGTATTTCCAAAAATCCTTATATTCTTTTTCTGTTGATAAAGTGTTCAAACATTTTTATGCATACCTTTTAAGCTTAAACTCTTCTATCAGCTGAGGTGATTTTTAGAAAAAAAAAAATCTTAAAAACAAGTTTTATTTACAAAAAGCACGATTTTTGCAGGTCCTTTCATCTCGGAAAGCTTAATATTTTTCCGAAATATGTGTTTTAGCGGAAGTTTTTAAATAAAAGTTTTAAATTCTAGTGGAAAAAACCCGCGGCTTTTTTTGCGGAGGCAACCTAATATAAAAAATTTAATAAGCAAATTTAAAAAATTAATTTTATTATTTACAACAAATGCGCATAACCTTGTAATGGCGCATTATTATTGTGGTAAACAGCGCAGGCATATTACATTGTATAGAAAACTATGTGATTTTAGTAATTATTTATGTAGACATATTTTTGTAAAAAAAGCTCTTTGTAATTTTATTAGCATTTCCTAAATGTAAATTCTATTTACTTTTCCTTGCTTATTTTAGAAATGCACACATTTTAATTGTCATGAATTTTCATAAATTCGTGAGTTTACATAAAGGGGAAAAAAATTCAGATTAATATGGAACCAAAAAAAAAAACAACTTTTGTATGAGTGCGTATATTTTTAATTTTTATACATACATATTTTTTTTTTATTGCATAGTTATGGTAATCGTTTTTTTTTTTTTTTTTTTTGAGTTGAAAAATGTGCTAATTTATCATCCGATAGCCAGGCGCGTGTTAATGAATTATTGAAATATTTATTTACAATACAATTATACCACCACCACATCGCACACGTTGCAGCAGTCAATATATGTATTCAAAAACATTTAGCACACAAATAAAATATTTTCGCTGTTTCTAAGTTTATTTTTAACTATTGAAAAGTTTTTATTCGAGTATATCGTTAAACAAATTGAGGCATTTTCCTCTAAACACCAACCAACCACCACATAAATAAATATAAATTAAAAAAAAATCGTTTTCATCTTTTGACAGCGCCGTCGTCGGTTAGTGATTAGCGGCGAGCAGTGGGAGTTGCGCATGACAGCCCCCTGTCTGTGGTTATGGTACAATAACTGATTTACGAATATTTGCTAAAATATTTATTTACTAACATTTGTATGTATGAATGTATGTATGTTTGTCTTTTATCAGCTACTGGTTGGTAAATAATCTCGAATTGTTATTTGAATTTTATTGTTGTTGTCGTTTGTGTGTGTGTGTGTATTTAACGAAGATCTGCTAAATGCCATTGAAGAGTACGAATTTGCGCTTGGAGATTTTAATTTGTACAATTCATTTGCATTTTAGCGGTATCTATGTATGTATGTATGTGTTCCCTACAACATACAAATAAATACAAAAAAAAATGTGTAATTGCGAGACGTTTATTGTTTGAGGAAAAAAAGCTAAAGCACGAAATCCCTTGGGCTATGTATTTGGACGGCATAAAAAATTTCGATATTTTTTCTTATTAGAGGATCTATCTACTTATGTATTTCTAACAGATTCAATAACTGGGAACATCCACTGAACGTTTTGGGACAATTAGGAAGTCACTGATATCCACTTTGATGGAAGGATAAGCCATTTTTAGTTTGTCTTAACCATAAAAATTTTATTTGGTGTGGGTTCAGTCATTTGCCTATGCTTTCTTAAAAGGAAAAAAATATTTCTGGGTCATGAAAAAGCAATGGCCCAACGTGTTTTCTTAAACAATTCACTCTGTTGTTCTTTATTGTCAGCGCAATTCGATCAAATTACGGCAAGGAGCTGTCTGACTGCCAAACCTGAAGCATGTGATTTTCCACACGATTTTTAATTAGGATGATGTTATAATTTGAAAATCATGCAAAAAATATAATTAGAGCATCTTCATATGCAATGAGCTCAAATGTGCAAATTATTATGTAAATATGATTTCGAATTGTTAAGTGTACAAATGGGCAATAGAATAACAATATCTATCTATAGGACGAGCACTATCTTTAGACTATGGAAAACATTTGTATGTAAATATGTATGTACATTTCGCCGCTGTAGTGCAGTACGCGCTACCACTCCGCAGGGCCTGACAACAACGCAATTTTATTGAGAATCAAGTAGAATTTGGGATATTAACCAACCGTCATAATAAAGAGGGCCGATGAAAAAAAATCTTTGAAATCTTGAAATTCCGCTTACAATATTTTCGCGGTTTTGGGCTATAGACAATTAGGATTCTATGTTTCACAGTGGTATCACAATGGACCTGCAGGTTCTAAGTGAGTAGTTTATGTTTGCAATTCTCAAAAGGCTCATTATACTGAGGGCGTAATTTGGTGGCCAACTCGTTACAGGGTAGCCAACTCATTTTTGAGAATTCCCCGATTTTGCCCGAAATTTCGTAAAATTCCCCACACATAGACATCTCCTTACTTACAAAAAAAAATTGTATGTGTTTTGATATATTGCTGGTCTTACTGTTTATTTTATTTTTAAACGTAATTCATGTATGTGTTGATAAACCAAACCAAACTTTTGTAAAGTAAGTTAACAAATAAAGAATCAAAAATATTTATGTAAGCAATATTTACATACATGCAGTGGTCGCAAAAATTTTAGTCGCACCAATTATTATTGTTTTTTTTTTTTTTTTTTAATTTGAGCTATTTTTTTTATAAAAATATAGTTGATTCTTTAACAAAAACCGTATAAATCAAAGTTTCAAACTTTGTGCAATATTTGAAACAATTTCAAAAAACTTTCGTAAAAATTTGGAGATTTTTAATTAGTTTTATAGAAAAATTTTGAGTATGCAGTTTTGTAGCCCACCCAATTCTAGAATAATAAGGTGCAAATTTCAAGTGGCTAAAAATTTTCGTTTTAGAATATAAAAATAAATAAGTTTATTCGTTAAATGAAAGCAAATGCGACAAAGATTTGAAAAGTTAATATACTAGAATTGAACGAGCTGAAATTCCGCACAAAAACGGTCCATTCCCCGACTCCCCACGCGAACTGAAATTCCCTGCAAATCGGGGAATTCCCCACGGGTTGGCTTCTCTGGCTCGTTACATTGCTCTCCTTCACGCTTTGGAAAATGTGCTCAATGACTACAGATAACTACAAGCAAATGAGGGAAATTTATACAGCCCGAAAGACTTATCGCACAACGTCTTCAAAAGGGGCCAAACTCAAAATTACTCTACCTTAGCCGAGTCCAAAACATAACGCCAGTCATTTATCTTCTGTGCTAACTGACGCCAATTGGAAATGCCAAGTAAAGCCAAGTCCTTATCCACTTGGTCTTTCCAACACAGAGAAAGCCTTCCTCTTCCTCGGTTACCAGCATCGCGGCCCGCGTTGAATACTTTCAGAGTAGGAGCGTTTCTGTCCATTCGAAGGACATGGCCAAGCCAGCGGAGCTGCTGAATTTTAATTCGCTGCACTATGTCTAAAGCTCATACAGCTCATCGTTAAATGGTCTGCGGTATTCGCCATCCTACGCCGTTGGATTTCAAGGCTGACTTCTCTCTCTAATCCCGAGAAGGCAGAACATACGTAGCCATTGTTTTTACCGATAATATCGATATCGTCGGCATACGCCAACCACTGTACGATCTTGTAAAGTATTGAGCCTGATCGGTTCAGTTCTGCCGCTCTTGTTATCTTCTCCAACATCAGATTAAAGAAGTCACATGAAAGGAAGTCGCCCTGTTTGAAGCCCAGTTTGGTTTCGAACGGCTCGAAGAGGTCTTTCCCAGTTCTGGCAGAGCTGGTGGTATTGCTTAACGTCATTTTACACAGCCGTATGAGTTTTGAGGGGATGCCAAATTCAGACATAGTGGCGTATAGGCAACTCCTTTTAGTGTCGCCTTTCTTGTGAATTGGGCAGAGCACACTTAAATTCCAGCCGTCGGGCATGCGTTCATACTCTGCATAAGAGCTGATGCATGTACCTCATCAGCTCCTCGCCGCCGTACTTGAATAGCTCGGCTGGCAGGACATCATCTGCGGCAGCTTTGTTGTTTTTCAGCCGCGTAATCGCTATTCGTACCTCGTCATAGTCAGGCGGTATGACATCGACTCTATCGTAATCTACTGGAGGTTCGGGTTCGTCTTCTCCACTACTTTCAGTGCTGCTGCCATTCAATAGGATGGAAAAGTACCTCCTCCATAAATTAAGTACGTTCTGGACATCAGTCTCTAGGTCGCCATGGTTGTTCTTACAGGAGTTCGCCCTGGTGTTGAAACCTTCCGTAAGTCGATTAACTCTCTGATAAAATCTTCGGGCGTTTTTCCTGCCGGCCAGCATTTCAAGCTCTTCGCACTCACGTATTTCGGCCTCTCTTCTTATTGCGGCAAATACGTCTCGCTTCCTTGTGTAGTTCCCTATAACGGTCCCACATGGCCGGGCGTTGCGCTCGATCGCAGCGTGGCCCTATAAGCGGCGTCCTTTATCACTGCGACTTCTTGACATTCCTCATCGTACCAGTTGTTCTTTTGGGCTCGCTGAAATCCAACTACTTCTTCGGCGGCGGAATTTTTCATTGGGCGGGGGGTTAAACGTGGTTTACGCCTTCACACTTTAGCTCGCTCCCAAACGGGTGTTTGGTTGCTACCCAGAGAATACGTGGATGTACATAAATATCCGGACGTTGTGAGCTGCGATTTCAACCGTACGCACAATAATCATTTCCGGCCACTCCCAGGTGAAGGGCAGTCAAAAGTTTTCCACTTCTGCGCACGGAACCATCCTCCAACATCGAACTACTCATTTATAAAAATAGACGCATACATACATACATACGTATGTAACTATGGTGAATAAAAGGTTATACTTTTTTGGCAGCAAACGATAAGCGACTTAAAGGCGTGCCAATGGCTAAAAATAAATCTGGCTCAACTTAGTTCGGACTCAAGTGCGGTTTTCACTTATTGATAATGATTTTTTAAAAGTTTTCTTTCTTAGTATTTTGGATTCATCCTTTTTTTATTATTAAAAAATGATACCATTTATCATTTGGTTAACAGCATCAAGTCTTACACCACAAATTGGAGGAGAAGCTTGGCCAAACACTTAACAAAAGTGTAAGCGCTAAAATATTAACACACCGAGACAAAGACACGGGTAAAACGTAAGTTTTTAAAAGAAATTGTAAAATGCAATTCTTTGATATAATCTTACTTCATACAAAATAAAAAATGCAATGTTTGTAGTTACGACTTTAAAAGGAAACATTTGCAATACAAAAACTAACGTTATAAGATATTTTGTTTTGGACTGATGAGAATAAACGAAATGAGAAAAAATATCGCCTAAGATGCATGTTTTCGAAACTAAAATGAAACATTTTAGAATATTGTCCCTACGAATTGTAGTGCGACACAATTTCCAACAAGTAAAGCAAAACGGGACCATTTTAAAACGTAAATTTATTTTAAGTAAATTAAGCAAGAAAAAGATTTAAAACTCGTTTTTAAAAAAAGATTTGAAAATGTGCGTATCAAAAAGAAAAACATAGATTTTAGAAATGGAAACGAAAATTTGCGTTCTCAAAACTTATTAAATAAACATTGTAGGTGCAAAACCTGGGTCAAAACGTTTTCAAAACCAAAACGATCTATACAAATTTGAAAACAAAAATTTCTCTTATACAATTATATAGCAATTATTTAAATCTTGCGACTTACCTAACGTAATCACGCTTACAATACGTTTTGCCGTCACGCACAAAACACGTACAGCTCTCGTCCAGAAATTGTCGACATTCCTGACATTTGAGGCATGCCGCATGCCATTCCAGATCGGGGGCGACGCGCAGGATGTACTGATCGTGAATTTGACCGCCACAGCCCACACAAAGTGATAAACGTTGTTTTTCTGCAAAATAAAAAGAATCAAAAAAAAACTTCAGTCAGGTGCCCGGCATAGTTATGAAAGATATTAAAAAATTTTTATTTTAATTGAGAAAAAATACATACAAATAAAAAAAAATTCTCTTTGCTTATTCATCTCACTTAAAAAAATTATTTTCCTAACCACAAGCATGTTCTAAATATTAATCTTTGAAATTGTAAAGCATGCAGCTTTTAATTAATTATTATTTAAAAATAAATAATGTTGAAGACTAAGGTTTCGTCGATCTTAATTTATAAAATGGTTTTAAATGTTAACATTTTTTTAAATTTATTTTGCATGTCTTCTCATTCTATAGATATATTTTTGCTGATATTCATCTCTTTTGAAGTGCAATAAACTTTCCGTTTATATCGTTTTAACCGCATCACAAAAATTAGTATATTTCATTTCTCAAATTTAGTTCTGCGGCTTTGAAAAATTATTGGCTTTAATTTTATTTTTTTTATGGATGTATTTATGTATGTGCAGACATACATTTAAACATTAGATACACATGTGTGCATAAATTTGCAAATTTTTAATTTTCCATAAACTCTTTTTATGACTTTTTTGTGATTTATTGCATTTTAATAATTCACTTTTTGGCATTGTTTTGCACATCATCATAAATGTTTGACGCATGTGTGCCATTTTGATGACATACATATAAATATAACAGTCAAAATCCAACAAGTTTGGCGTTATTTTTTAACATTTATTGACCGTAAAAAAAAATTAAAATTTCAAATTAGTTATTAAAATATATCAGTTAACGAATATAGATATGCACTAACATACATATATACATACTTATATACGCGAAGAGATTAATTCACGTAGTATGTATTAAAAATATTAAAATTGTTATTTTATATGTAATTGTAATTTGAACCAAGAAAAACTAAAGTAAAATAAAAACAAGTAAGAACTTTGCTGTTTTCGGCTAAGCCGCAGGCTCCTACACCGACTTTTCCGTCAAACTTTGGCGCATCCATATAGAAGTTCAGCGATGCCTTCTCGCAACAACGGCTTCCCGCCCTCACATTGTGTCGGGATGAAATTTGAAAATATCGTATAAATTTCTCAAAAACCTAAAGACGCGATTTATTTAAAAGTTGTAAAATTAAAAACTCGAAAAAACTTTTTATTAACTAACTTTCACAGTTTATCGAAAATTAAAATTTTTCAAGTTAATTTCCGGTTTATGGGAATACAACTAAAACTTGATGAAATATAATTCTTGAGAGCCCGTCGGCAAACCGCTGAGTGACAGATCCTTAAAGAACTGTAAAGTATTTATGTAGACGTACACTAGACCGTACGACTTTACAGGCAAAAAAAGTTCGCTTCGTGTCTATTTTTTGCAATATAATTTTTTTACTATTTTCTGTGACACCTTCATTTTTTTTAATAGTTCTACTGGAGTTATCGAAATACTTTCTTAAAAACAAGTTTAATGTTTTTAGCAAGCTTTAATTTACTGACATTAGGGTGGTAAGAAGTGAGATCTGGTATGTAAGCATTGAAATGTGGTGCTTGAGGTCAATGAATGTTGGAAAAAAATGTCTCCTCGACACAAAAATATCGGAATTCCTAATTTAAGACCCGATTGTATATGGTGAAGGTATGCTTTGTAAAAATTGTTTTGACTTAGGGGTGTAAAGTGAATGTTTTTTAGAACGGCCTAATGTACATACCTACTAATGTAGATATCCATTTTTTTTTTTCATTTACATGTGATCTTCGCACGAATTTCAAAAAAACTTTATAACCACGTTAAAGCAAATTCCACCTCATATATTTTTTCTTTGCTCCTACTTTAATGCTGACAATAGATATTTCATTATTACCTCTTCGTAGTACGATTTTGTTCGTCTTAAGTTTCCCCGAACTAGTTTGCTATAAAAAGCTACTTTATCGCAGAACTTAAATTTCTATTAAAGACAAATTACGCACACATATGTACATATGTACATACACGCACACCATAAAGCAGGAGCAATGTGGATTGGTGCTTGGGGAATTGGCAAGTGGAATGTGCCATCCTTCATGATAAACGAAATGAAAACTTCCAACATTATTACGCACATTTAACGTTCTCTTAGTAGTAGTTTCTTCCTCTTGTTTGTTGTGTAGTTGCTCGTTGTCTTTTTTACTTTACCTCTCATGCGCTATCCAACAAAAATTTTACGAAGTGTAGGAACAAACTTGCAAAAGTGCAGAAAAAGTGCGCGTAGATATACGGGAAAAAAAAGTTGGAATACAAAAGTAGCAAAAAATGAGGAGCAGTTAGTTGCTAGTTTGTTGAGGGAAAGAAAGTTAAGTATACGTCCCGGTGGATAGGTGGCAAAAATTACGAAAGGGAATAAGGTGGCGCCAGGGGGGGGGTAAGGAAAATATGTGGTGTGAGAGCTGAAGGGATACAGTGGAAAAATCAATGCAATCACAAAGGCATTTCACAGCGAGAAGGTATGTGTATTAGGGTGGTCCTTAAACCATATGTCGTTGCCACTGTAGTCGAAGATATCACATATAAATTTTGGTCCCGATTGGAGACGGTTAAGGCGTGTCGCATAGCACACGGGGGTCAAAATTCAGATTACCCTAAGAAGACGTCTTACCCCACTCCAATCGGGACCAAAATTTTTATTTGATATCTTCGACCTTAGTAGTACAGGTTTTGACTATTGAATGAAAAAAAAAAATATTTTTAATTTTTTAATAATTTTTTTTTTTTTGACCCCATTGCGACATGCGAAATGCTAAGAAACCTATTTTCGCAATTTGACAAACTCCAAATCGATTATAGACCCATGGTTTCTTCGGAAAATTTGCATAAAATTACACAAATGCCGTACGCGCATAATCGAAAAAATCTCCCATACAAATTGACCCGCCCTAATGTAGATACATACATATGTACTTACATATGTAAATACAAAGAGTAGTATATAGCACATACATTCATAAGTATGTACAAACGTATGTATGTAAGCTTTACTTTGTATAGCCTTATTTACCAAAATGGCGGAAAATGTGAAAAATGAAAAGAAAAACGGCTGCAGAATCGCAGAAAGGCACAGAAAAGGTAGGTAAAAGAAGGGCATGCGGATTAAAAGTTAGTAGTGGACTTTTTGCAGCTTAAACTCTATAGCCATAAAAGGGTGTGTGTGTGTGTGTTTGTGTTTACACTCGTATGTATGTATGTATGTATGTATATTTGTACAAATGTAACTTGGCATAAGAACTTGACGCTGCGTAAAGCATTTGGGCACAAGTGCGAGGTTGTAAAACGGCACAAAAACTTTTGCATGTCATGTCGAAAGTTTCTTGTTTTTTTTTTTGCGAGTTCCTTAAATGATTTTAAATGCCGTTTTACTCAGCAGAATTGCCAGTGAGCCGGGCAGTACTCTTCACGTTTGCTTTTTGGGTATTCCAATGCGGTTTTATTTTTTATTTTTGCTTTTTTGTTGTTGAAATTTTGCAGTTTATTTTTGCGCTGTCTTTAGTCCTCCAACATTTCTCTACTTTGTAAATTATTCTTCTTAAAACTTTTTGCATCGTTTCTGGCTAGCACAGGGACACCCTTTGGTGTATACATACAAAGATGGATATAAATTTAAAATCAAAGAATGCGGATCTTCTTAAATTTCAGATTTTTATATATGGTGTCCTTTCAACATTAGATGTTCTAATTTAAGGAAAGAACTTTTTCGTCATTAGCGGAAATTTTAGAATTTTAAGGAAATAACATTCTTTCCATCTGCTGCGTGGGCCATATTACCAGTCCCGGCGAGAGGGGGGTCAAGCAGCTGATATAGGTCTCTGAGCAGAATAATACGAAGCAGATGTTGACCCATGGACAAACACACTTCTTGGGCCTCCTGTTAGTTGTGCTTGACAACAACAATTGAGCGATAAGCCGATCTAAGTAAGCCGCTACAACAAGAATGGAGGGGGATCAGAGTTAAATTGTCCTGTGTCGGCTGAATTTCTAGGACCCATGCACGGAATAAAATTAAAAAAGGGAAGAATTTTAAATAATGCAAAAATGATTCAACATGGAATAAAAATATTTAATCGAAAGAGAAATTTTGTGCTTTTCTTTAATAAACAAAAGTACACTTGTGGCAACGCAAACGACCACGACTTTTTTAAATATATGAAATAGAATTTATAAATTAACTTTAAATAAAAAACGAATAATGTTTTTTTTAATATAGTTTAAAACTTTGTATAAAATTTAGAAATATTCATCGAAATTTAAAACTTTTTAGTTAAAATGTTTAGGAAAATTTCGGATACGCAGTATAGTAGCCCATTTAATCTCAGTATAATAAACTGAGTTTCAAAAATTTGGTTGAATTTTGAAAATTTGTAATAAAATTACTGGGGCTTTTAACTTGCATACCCAAAATTTTCCTAAAAAATTTTATTAAAAAGTTTGAAATTAAAAAAATAAAAATAATATTTAATATTTGTGTTTTCGCTCTAAGACAATAATAATTATTGTTAAGTTTTAATTTTTCTTATACCAAGGTTTGAAAAAAGTTAAAAAAAAAGCATCGAATATCTCATTATTATGATTCGGTTGAATTTTTTTTTAATCTCTATATAGATTTTTAAACTTAAACTGTTTTGTCATCTGAGGGGATTTTTTCCAAAAAATTCTTTAAGAAACTATTTTGATTCATAAAAAAAACTCCATTTTTGGAGGTATTTTCTAATCGGTCTAGCTCACGTAAATCTTTATATTTTTCCGATATATTTTGGTGCAAGTCTTAAAATTATAATAGATTTCACAACTCCAATGGAAACACAGTACCGATTTTTCTTTGTATGGGGAGTCATGCAGTCTAAGGTACATATATTTTGTTGTTCTTTATAATTTTATTATCAAAGTCAAATGATTTTACAGCAAACTACTCTGGACCTTCACCATCATTGCTTATTCAATTGGATTTCGAATTGGGCTGCTTTCG